TCACTTTTAGGGACTACGTCTATTTATAACAGCCAGGCATATGGAGCTGTACTCAGTAAGAAAGGTAAGGAAAAGTCTATGTTCCACTACATTTCTGAAAGCAAAACTAAGGCAAAAACAATCAATCTCCTTTAGCATTATTTAAGAAACTTATTTTTTGTTGTACTTTATTTGCTATTTTTTTACTTTATTTTCGAATGAAGTATTTTTTAAACATACACAATATTTTATTATGTGCTTTTGAATTTTTTTAATATCAAGAGAACACATTACAAGTAGTTCATAGATAAAATTCTAATACAGTGATACATCCTCAACACCCTCCCCCTTTCTTTATCTAACTTTTGCCATTTTTTAAATTTATTTATAAACATAGGCTTAAGGTTCCACTAAATAGAGATCAACAAATTAACAGTAGAAAGACCAGTGCTCAACAGGTACAAACAATACCCAAGTCCCAAGATGAGAGCTTCCCTCATATATACGTGTATGTGCATGTGTGTGTGTGCATATTTATGCTCTATATATTATCTACCACAAGTCAGAGAAAGCATGCGGTATTTGTCTTTTATGGGTCTGGCGTATTTCACTAAGCATAATGATGGCCAATTACATCCATTTTGTTGCAAGACAGGATTTCACTTTCTTTATGACTGAGTCGTATTCCATCATACATCTATGCCACATTACTTTTTATCTACTTATCTGTTGATGGACATCTGGGTTGATTCCGTATCTTAGTTACTGTGAACTGAGCTGCTATAAACACAGGTGTACAAGTAATTCCTTCATAGGCAGTCTTCATTTCCTGTGGGTAAATGTCCAGGAGCAGAATGGCTGGGTGATACGGTGGATCTATTATCAGATTTCCGAGGACTCCCCATACTGTCTTCCATGATGGTTGTTCCAGTTTACATTCATACCAACAGTATTTTTTAATCTCCTAACCGCCTCTTAACTTAAAACAAAGGTGACTGATCATACCCAGTCCAGGATAACCACAGGGATTTAAGATCCCCAGAAGCCAGGACAAGTGGTGAGATGACAGCAGATTTCTCCCTTCCATTTCATATTTGAGCAAATACCTGCAGAGGTGGGAGAGGTTAACCAAGGACGGCTGCGGCTTTAGGTCCCCTTCTTCCTGAATATGCTGTGTGCATGTGCATGGGGTTTAGGGGTACAATGCATACAATGATGCTGCTAAACCTGCTATGAGGTGAAAATATTTTTAAGTCAAAACCATATTAAATATATTAACCCTTCTGTATCTTAGCCCAACAGTACATGAGACCTATTATTCCTTCTTCTGACCATATGGCTAACCACATGGCTAACTCAGAGTTGCACCTCAATGAGCAGCATGACAAGAGTGGATTGTGCATCTCAATTCCACTAAAATGAAGATTTGAATATTCTGTTCACTGCTGAATCTACAATAGTTCATGGCATAAAGAGGATAATTAATAATATCTGTTGAATTAAGGAATGAATAAATGCAAAGACAATCTTCACATATTAGCAATATTAACTAGAGGTATTTCGGTTTTGGGGAAAATTATTAATGACTCATTCATCAAAATGTTCATATGCTAGAGCTGGCATTGTGGCGTGACGGATCAAGTCACTGCCCTCTGTGATGCCGGCATCCCATATGGGTGCCAGTTCAAGTCCTGGGTGTTCCAGTTCCAATCTAGCTCGCTTTTAATGTTCCTGGGACAGCAGTGGAAGATGCTCCTAGTGCTTAGTTCCCTGCACCCCCATGGGAGACCCAGAAGAAGCTCCTGGCTTCAGTCTGGCCCAGCTCTAGCCATTGTGGCCATTTGAGAAGTGAACCAGTAGAGAAGAGACCTCTCCCCACTTTGTCTCTGTCTTTCCCTTTCTCTCTCTCCCTAACTCTGCCTTTCAAATAAATAAAAGTAGAAAATCTTAAAAAAGAAATGTTCATATGCTTTAACAAAATACAGCTTTCAGCGCGGTGCGCCGGCCGCAGCGCACCGGCCACGGCGGCCATTGGAGGGTGAACCAACGGCAAAAGGAAGACCTTTCTCTCTGTCTCTCTCTCACACTGTCCACTCTGCCTGTCAAAAAAAAAAAAATTAATAAAAAGTAACCTGCTGTGTGAAAAAAAAAAAGCATGCTAAATATCAAAAGATCTTCTCACATATGAACGTCAAATTGAAGAAAAAATTGTTGGGGCTGGTACTGCAGTGTGGCAGGTAACACCACCACCTGCAGTGTCAGCATCCCAAATGGGTGCCAGTTTGAGTCCTGCCACTCCAGTTCTGATCCAGCTCTCTGCTATGGCTTAGGAAAGCAGAAGACAGCCCAACTACTTGGACCCCTGCACCTGCATGGGAGACCCAGAGGAGGCTCCTGGCTCCTGGCTCCGGATCGGCCCAGCTCCGGCCATTGTGAACAACCAGGTAGTGAACCAGCAGATGGAAATCCCCACCCCCCTGCCTCTCCTCTTTCTGTATAACTCTTTCAAATATATAAATAAATAAATCTTAAAGAAAAAAAAGCAAACAAAAAAAAAACTGTTGTTTCTCTTCCTGTGCCATAACATGCCACAAACCATCAACACTCAAATCAGAAAGACATCTAATTGAATCTAGCAGGAAAATAGTGCCTAATTTTCCTATCCGAACTGTTTCATTTTCCCCAAATTATTGCACCAGATGACTTCTAACACGTTTTTAAAAGCACACTTAGTTGGTAAGCAACTTCTCTGATATTTTTCCTCAGAATATCGTAATGTTATTAGCCATGATCTGGTACTCATCAATAAATCAACTTGAAAAGCCATATATAATGTATTATATTTACTTTACTGGCTTAAAAGAATTTATTTGTATGTGTTGAATATAAATTGACTATAAGCTATGAGAAATTTAATTTTCTAGGCAATAGGATTATAATCCTAATCCTTTGTACTTAAGTCATAACACTCAATTCCTCAAACTTTTAATTCTTGTTTTTTAACTCAGTGTTAAATGCTAATAAGAGAAATATATGAAATATGTAACTCTCAACCAGGTTTTTGTCAAAATGACATTGACAAATAACATTTAAAAGTTTTCTTATACCATTTAAACCTCATCATGTGCCACTGTTTATGTAACATAAACAAACATTTGCACCAGAATAGGTATTGTGGAGTCACAATACATCAGAGATGTAAAGTATCAAACACTGAGGTACTTAAAGAGTAATACATGCAATGGCAACACTTTGAAAACAGTTAAGAATAAAGATAAGTAAAAAACATATTTATTCAAGACGACATCACTTCAAGAAGGAGACTAAGTCTATATCCAAAATACTTTATTTCTTCCCAATCTTAGCCTAAGGGAAAATAGAAGATAGCTCAAAACAGATACTATATTAAAGCCATACTAACACAGTCTCCCCAACTCAGTAACTATATAGCTAGTTTATATTAATACAAAGTTCACAGAATTATAAAAAGTCAAGAGTTGCAGCCATAAGAACAAGGTATTTTTAAAATTACCTTGCTAGCGATGGACAGGAGTTACTCCATGTAGTGAGTATGGTCACAAAAATGACCTTGAAGGTCCCAAGAAATACCTAGCAAATTATTTCAATACTCTAGGCTTACACAAAAAAAGCTCTTTCACATAAATTCTGGATCTACTTCTGTTTCAGCATTCTGCAAGTAACTTCTGATGGTAAGGTTTTCTGACGTTGAACTACCAACTAACCTAAATGACATTAACTTGGACAAGCCTCATGATAGGGTTTAAGAAATTTCCAGACTCGACCTAGAGCAGGCAGACTTGTTTTTACATTTATGCTAATCATTAACAATCAAAGATTAAGAGGCCCATCTCTACATGTATTAAATTACAGTATACTTACTGCAGGCCAGTGACAGACACAGGACAAGTTTACAGGTACTGACAAGAACATATCTGCCAATCACACCGAGTCAACACAGCAAGAGTGAAGAGAGAGTGGTGAGGTGAGGAGAGTAACATTTTAAAAGAGCAACGCAAAGCTGGATGGCACGGCACCAGCCCATGTGCAGGTAAATATGAAGAAAAGGATGGACGTCAAACCGCTGACAGCGAATACCCCTGCAGAGAATGTCTGAGGTTGATTTCCACAAGAACATATTACTCTGAATAGAATACTCTAACATGCAGTTTAGAGGGGGTGGGGATTTAACACTGAACTCTCACTTTGTTTTAAATAATTAAGAATCTGCAAAGAGTTATAAGACCAGTTCTTAAATGTAAACACTCGGTCAGTTTTCCGTACTTATCACTGACAATGACGTCCATCACACCCATGTCTGTATAATCTGGTTGGGGAAAGTGTGGGGGATGTCTGAGTTTGAGTCTTTGGCTCTGCTTTGGGTTCCCGGTTCTTGCTGATGCACGCCACGGAAGGCAGGAGGCAATAACAGTTCACGTACTTGTGTCTCTGTAGCCACGTGAGAGCACTCCACTGCGTTCCAGGCTCCAGACTTCCACCTGGTCCAGCCCTGGCTGTGGCCATCCTTTGGCAGAGTGAACTGGTATCTTTCTGCCTCTCTCAGGCTACCCATCTCTCTCCCCTGCCCATCTCAAAACAATTTAAAAAGATAAATTTTCCTTAAAAGGACTAACACTGTTTCAGACTTACATCATGCTTTAATTTTTTTTCCCTAAAGAATATGAGTGGAATCATGGCAGACATTAGAAATTAATAATAAAAAGTTTCATTTCCTATTTCAACTTCACCTGTCAATATTGTATCCTCAAATATTCTGTGTTTCTCAAGTCCAAAATAGTATTTAGCATCACCTTCCTAAATTCACAAGTATTCTTTCCATGAACATTTCTTGGTTAAACAAAAGGAATTTTTATACCAAAGTAAGATTAGACTATGCATTTACTATTAATATATGTTCATACACACATGCCTGTGTGTGTTAAATTGTTTCTGAAGTCATCCCATGTTTAAAAAGAGTAAGCAACAGACTGTCAACCCTGTACCTTATATTCATCCACAATAATACTGAGAGCTTCATGACCAGCCTTCCTCATGTCTTCCAATTCTTGCTTGTGTTTATCCTGAAAGAAAACAGAAAGTAAATCCACGATTTGTTACTGTTTTGTTTTCAAAATAATAAAACCATCAACTTTTACTCCACGAATGCCTTAGGGGTCTAGTAAGACACACCAATAATGCAAAGAAAACAGAGAAAGGGTTCTTAAATAAATAAATCTTTTCTTTTAATCTAAAAGGCAGAGTTACAGAGAGAGGAGAGAGACAAAGAGACAGACGCAGACAGAGAAAGAGACAGAGACAGAGAGAGAGACAGAGAGAGAGACAGAGAGATTTTTTGCATCCACTGATTCACTCCCCAAATAGCTGCAAGGGCACTGGTCTGTGCTAGGCTCAAGCCAGGAGCAGGAACTTCATCCGGGTCTCCTTTGTGGATGCAGGAGTCCAAATGCTTGGGCCATCTTCCATTGCTTTCCCAAGGGCATTAGCATGGAGCTGGTTGGGAAGTGGAACAGCCAGGACTCAAATTGCTACCCATATAGGGATGCTGGCACCATAGGCAGTGGCTTTACCTTTTAATGCACAGCACGGGCCCCCAGGTACTTTTTTTAAGACAAGACTGAATTCATTTGAAAGGCACAGTCACAGAGACAGAGGGAGATATAGAGACAAAGGTAGAAAAATCTTGCCTCTGTTGTTTCACTCCCCAAACGGCCCCAAGAGCTAGGGCTGGGCCAGGCAGAAACCAGGAGCCTGGAATTCCATCTGGGTCTCCAACACGGGTGGCAGAGGCGCGAGCACTCTGGCCACCCTCAGCTGCTTTCAGAGGCGCAGTAGCAGGCAGCAGGATCAGAAACAGAGCAGTCAGGACTTGAATAGGTGCTCATATAGGACTGCCAGCAGTACAAGCAGTGGCTTAATCCCTGTCACGCTGGCCCTGAGAAAGCATACTTTATCAAATAAAAGTCTTTAGAAGTTTTGGGACAGTACTGAGCCAGTAAGAGATAAAGAAGGAAGAACAAAATAAAGGACAAAGACACCAAAAGGTGAGATTACAAAAGCTGGTGGTGCTCTGCCTTGGGACCATGGACAACTCCTGGCCTGGACCAACAGACAGGTGACTCTGTCACTGCAGCAAGCCTGGCTCCACACGTCTGATTCCTCCTCCAGTGCTTCTAATACAGGTCCAAGTGGGGACCACTGGATACACCGTACCTGCCCAGGATGGGAGAGGATGAACTCTCCTTGGATGATGCTAGCATTCTACAGCATCTTTCCAATTTACAAGCGCACAGTTCAGTTTTCAGTACAATATTAACAACATACGAGACTAAAACAAAAACAATAAAATGACAACAAAAAAGAGAGGGAAGAACCAGCGTTGGGGCACAGTGGGTTAATCCACCATCTGAGATGTCAGCATCCCTCATGAGAATGGCAGTTTGAGTTCCAAGTGCTCTGCACTCATTCCAGCTGCCAGCCAATGTGCCTGGGAAAGCAGTGGGAGATGGCCCAAGTGCTTGGACCACTGCTACCTACATGGGAGAACCAGATGGAGTTCCAGATTCCTGGCTGGGCCACCATGTGGGGAGTGAACTGGTAGATGGAAGATTCTCTCCTCTGTAACTCTTGCTCTCAAATAAATAAATATTTTGAAAGGGTGGTGGGGCTGGGGATACAAAATAGTTGAGCAGGATTCAGATACAGGCACAAATAAGAGTTAATAAAGAGCTTTTTAAAATGCATTCCTTTATCTGAAAGAGGGGTGGCCTGGCTTCCGGGGTCTAGGGCTTCCTCTTGGGCCTCTGTCACACGGTGACACCAGTGCTGCATCGAGGTCATCAGCTTCTCAGTGTTTGCTGACATCTGACTTCCCCGAACCCCTCCCCCTCAGCACCTGAACGGCTTCTTTCTCTTCGTGTTCCGTGGTCGTCTCTAACACTTGTCGTCATTATTCCTCTGCACTCTCAGAGGGCTACTGTTTCTGGGTCTCCCGAGAGAGCTGTGGGCTCAGAGCACTCAGCCAGATTCCACGACTGTCCTCGCATCTGTCTTCCCAGAGCTGCCTTCCGCTGGGGCCCTGTTCCTTTCGGGGTGGCCACGTCTGATCCCCTGGGTCCTCAGGATCCAGGGTCTTCACTCGCCCCTCTGCTGACATCAGCAGGGATGACATGTGACACATGGACGCCCTCCTGCTCTCGGTGGCTTAGTCCCACCGTGTGTTTTCCAAATTTCATGTAACTACTGCCATTCAGTATTTGGTTGAAGGTGGTGTTCGTAGGTTTTTCTTTTATCTATCTTAATTACTCTAATTTTGCAAGAAAATATGTGAAGACTCACAACTCAGCAGTGTCTGTTGCTGCCATCATCCTGCTCAACCCACTCCTTCCTTTGTGAAATATTTTCCATCACTGGACCCTTCACTCGTTCTCTTTCTAGCAAATTCCTTCTCAGCCCGTTCCCGAGGCTCCCATTCATGGCCCCAGCTCCCAAATACAGGCGTTCCCTGAGCACTGAACCTCTAACTTTACCAAACTCTAATTAATCTTAATTCTATTACATTAAACAATATCGCTCCATAAATCCTTAATTTACATCTCTAACCCTAAGACTGACTGCCACCAGATTTATTTATTACACGGGTATCTAAAAAATAAAATATAAAAGTTAAGTCCAATGTCAAATTCTTCATTTTCCTCTACCGAACTGCTAGTGCAGCAAAAAAAAAAAAAAATTGTGAAATCATTTTTTAATTTTTTTCTTTTAATCTTTCATAATCCACACATAGTCTTCAGAAAATCCTACTGGTTCTGACTTAACTTTTTAACTCTTTAACTCTTAAATGATAAGTAAAACGTGTCAGGCACTGTTCTCAACTTGTTTATTTGAATCTATATATTAATCTCATGATCCATAAGCTGAACACCTGTCAGCCTATGCACTGCTACATTCTGGCCTACACCATGCTAATTTCTCAGCAGGAGTACTATACTAACACCCTTGTCACCAAGACCCCAGCCTTTTTCCTAGTAATCAGAAAAATCCTTTGAAAACTTAAGCCCATTCACACACCACAACATGAATTCTATGAAGAGGCAGGAATTAATCGCTGCTGTGTCCACAGTGCCTAAAACAGCCGAGTGGGTGGTCAACAAACATCTGAATAAAGCAAGATCACACATCTGTCCAAAATTCCCAGATGGCTTTCACATTGCTTCACATAAAAAACCTACCATCATTCCATGGCCCAAAACCGACACCACTCTCTTCCTAACTCCCTCCGTGGCCTGGTCTTTCCTTGCTCATTATCAGAACACTCAGGATCGCTCTTGCTATGGATGTTGAGTTTCACCTGATAACCCACCCCACACCCATATAATAGATGTTCACTTCCTCTAGAGATCATGTTCAAGTGAATCACCATAAAACCTCCGCTGACCATTCTTACAATGGTGCACACCCATCACTATCACTCATACTTTATTTTTCTACATAGCACCTTTTACTATCAAATGCTTTGCATTTATTTTCTGTTGCCTGTCTCTATCAACTAGAATAGGAAAGATAAAGAAGCCACCCTCTGAACACCATGGTACCTGGAATGGTGTGGAGAACATAGATACCAGCAAGATTTCAACTTCTGACAATGAGTTCTATTACAAAAAGTGAAGCTTCGTGTAATGTTGAATATGTGTGTCTCCAACGGTACCTTACACACAGTGTCAGTTCAATTAGCAAGGACTGAATAGGGAAGACAGAGAATGGGCTGGATTTGAAGGCTACATACATCTAGGAAGTGAGAAGTATGTTTACTTTCTTCTTCAAAGATAGCTGTTTGACATCAAAATACAAATGCAACAAAAGTAATTTACAGCAAAGTCTTGGAAAAAGGAGACTAATATACAGGCGCATAAGATGTTTGCTGAACCAATCAATGGAACTGTGATCGACGGTCCTTCCTCTGATATATAGTAAACATTTAAGTTTTATCTGTTAAATCAAGGGAGCTGGATTAGCCTTCTGACTTTCTGAACGCCATTTCGATGCAGCATGCTACAACTACATCAATCAGTCTCCTTTAAGTACTTCAAACTCACTGTCAGCAATCAAATAACCACATTGTAACACACCAGGTTGCCCAGATACCAAAAGAAAAACACCAAGAAAAACCAAATAGTCATACACAGAACTGAAATTTTTATTTCAAGAATATTGAGCCAAAGTTTTACAACCTATCTTCAAAGTAGTTAAACACAAATCCAACCACAAAGATAGCTTTCTTTCAAAATGTCAAACCCCAAAGCATCAGTAGAAAGGGAAAACTCAGGAAAGTACTTCACCTTAAATAAAAGTACGCAACTTTTTAACAAGAAGAGACTTCAAAGCTATACAAAGCCAATGCATTCACTCAGAAATGAGCAAATTGGGGCCCCCACGGGGTCAAGGAGTTTTGTTCAAACAGGGAAAGGCAAAGCCTAAATGAGTTCCATCTCAATGTGTATTTTAAAGTATTCTGTGAAAACTAAACTACTAAAATGTATTCCCATTTCTTCATCATTAGGTTTCTCTTCTGTATGAAATGCACAAAATCCTAGGTCACATATCACACTCATTGACAAAAACAGTACACGTAACTGTTCACATTTAGTAAAACCTAAAATAGTTATTCACTAGCTCATTACTGCCAACCGTAAGATTTTACCTGAAAAAAATGATGCAAAGTAAAATGTTTTTCTAAGATTATCAGATGCACATTTCCATCAATCCAACACTACTCATAACCACTCCAACCCCAACTTCCTGCTTGGCAAGATGTTTAGATATATCTAAGTCTCATGTACTTAATATGCCTGAACATGAATGATAATCAGAAAATATTTGTTGCTAGGGTCAGCATTTGGCACAGCAGGTTAAGCTGCTGCTTGCAATGTTAGCATCCCCTGTAGGCATGCCAATTCAAGTCCTGTTTCCCATTCTGATTCAGGTTCCTGCTAAAGTACCTGGGAAAGCAGTGGATGAGGCCCAAGTGTTTGGGTCCGATCAACCACGTTCAAGACCCAGATTG